TTTTGAAGTTGGGCTTTAAAATATCCAAATGTTTAGGCCCAAGATCTATTTCTATTTAGGATAGGCCCGCTGAAACAACATTGAAAAGTATCGTCATATATCCCTACCTGGCCTATACAAACAAACAGACACAAACACCCATTTAGATCTGAATACTATGAGCCGTTTCATAATTATTTTATTTTTTTAAATATGATTTAAAAAATGTACTGTTGGGCTCAAATAGATGATCAATACCTAGTTTAAACGACTAATTGATGTAGAATCTGGTATTAGCCCGATTTGCCTTGCTTCTGTGTTTTGATAATGTGCGAAGAAGGTGGTATAAAAGTGTTCAATTTTGAGATCGCAATAAAAGTTTGATAGTATTTTCTCCTAAAATGGAATAGCTAACGAGCTTCAACTTAGTTGGATAAATCCGAATCAAATTGATTATATTTGGTACAATTGTCATATCACTAGTATTATTTTTCATGAATCCAAAATATATTTACAATATTTATCATCCCTTTAATTACCAGGAATATTTCTATCTTATTTTACTAACCACTCAAGATGTGATCCTAATGAANAATCTGCGTAACGCCTAGTGGGCGTGGGTACTCTTGAAAGAGGAATATTGGTCCACAAATTGTAACAATTTAATTATCATATCAAATATTAAATTTTGAGAGACCTCACAATATATTGGAGGGCCTAACATAACATATATGTATGTGGATAGCATCCCGTGGGCAATAGGTCCAAACGCTACAGGCTAAACTCATCAATGAGGGATTAATGCAATTTTTTGTCTTAATTGGATAGATGTTTCCAGAATCTCGATGCTGCCAAAAGTGGCAGGCCGTTTTTTAGTTCTTTACACCATAATAAATAGAGACATCGCACCTGTTACAGCTCAAATTTACATCAAGTCCTGTACATGTTTTCTATTTTTTTTATTAATCTAATTTTATTTAATCGTTAGAATTAATTGCAATTATCTATTTCTTTTTTTTTTTCAATTTGGACCATCTAGCTAGCCATAATTGCATTTATCTATTTTACATCAAGGCTGGAATTTTTTTTTTTCAACTGATATTATAAAGAATGATGAATAACAAATAATGATAATAATAATAATACATTTTAGTTCATATATTTATAAATATATCTCACTTCTCCGAACAAATTCGTGAATTTTCATACAAACAAATTCTGTAAATTTTTATAACAAGGAGGGGAGAATATAAAAATAGTCCAATATAATTACAATGTATAATCAATAAATATTTTAATATTTAATCTAGTAAAATTTCAAATAAAATAAAAGGTAAAATATTTATTAGAATTTGATGAAAACTATTGTAATCATCGGAATTCCACAGCCATTAGAATATTTTAATTTTTTTAATGGAAATCAAATATTTTAATTTTTTATTGTAAATTTTCTAACACAATTATAACATTGAAAATCTGTTAGAATATTTTAGAAGATGAAAGTTTCCAACACAATTCTAACATTGAAATTTCTTTAGGATATTTAAAGGATGAAATTTTCCACACAATTTTATAACATTGAAATGGATGTTAGGATATTTTAAAAGATGGAAATTTTCAACACAACTATAACATTGAAATTGAAATTCATTGACAGGCATTTATGATAAATAAATATATGAGCAAGATGCATTACGATTTGTTTTATTCTAATTATCTCTAGTTATATAATTCAATTATCTCTAGTTATATAGTGAATTAGTGTCATTCTCTTATTAATCACCTAATTACTTATCTCTAGTTATATAATTCAATTATCTCTAGTTATATAGTGAATTAGTGTCATTCTCTTATTAATCACCCAATTACTCTTAGTCCAGTTATATAGTGAATTAGTTGCCTATTATTCATAGACTGAAATTGAAACGTGGGAATTTTAAGCATTGGCATAATTTTAGGATCTTTCAGCAAGCAATTTTCAGACTAGGAGTCACAATTCTTGAAATTTACTGTTCTTTGTGTTGTTTTGATATGCAAAAACTGCACATAACATTCCTATATAATTATAATTGACATATTAATTTAATCCATTACTACTATTTCATAACTAACTTTATATTAGTTTATACATGATTTATCACCGGGAATTTTAATCATTGCGATACACGATTTTCAGTCTGAATCTGGTTTCAGCAAGCAATTTTCAACGACTGGGAGTCACATGAAAAATTCTTTAAACTTACCGTTCTTAAATATTAAACTTACCGTTCTTATATATTACTCATGGAAGAAAA